ATAATTATAGTCAAAAGGTGAATGCTTACTTCGAATCGGATTGGAACAAAGTCTGGGAAGAAGCCCTTATGGACTTTGTGTTTTCAGTTGGGTAATTGGAGCAATTTGATTGGGAAAACATTAACGACCCAACAGGGTTATTGGGACCCACTTGCACTGACTGACCAAAGATGTTGCATTCTTTGCCTAGAAAATTCATTATCTGAAAGGAAAAAATAGATAATTTCATTATAAACCAAAAACAAAATTAATGAAATATATTTTTAAAAATAAGAAAAACAAAAACAAACAAAAGATATGTTGCATCGCAAAACTTTGAACGCATTGGGAGTTCACCGTAACACATCTGGCCACATTTCGACATAATAAATGCCAGTTTGATTAGGAAAGAAAAGGGGTTTACTAAGGAAATGCATTAAAAGTGTGCTGATCTCAAGTTTCTCGACGATGAACCGAAGACCAGACTCACGCACAAGATTACCAGTCATCGCGGAGAGAGAAAAATAGTACTTTCTCCTTTATAGTTGAGCACTTTCATTTTATATATATATATATATATATATATATATATTAAATACATTTTAAACTTTGACCTATACTATCCACCACTGTATAAAAAAATGAAGATATATTTCAATTATTCAGTGAAGAACATGCCTAACGAGATGAACTGTAAATTGGTATTACAAAAAAAGTGTCATTAAATTTTTTTATGTCGACTCGACGTTTCGTTCAATTTCGCAAAGCAATCGATGAAATTTGAATAAGCTGATCCGTTTGAAAAAATATTTTGTTACAAACCCTACTTCGCGGTTTAATAAATTTCATTTTATAGGACTTTATGCTAAGCAATATTTTTTAAGATTTTTTTTTTTTTTTTAATAATCGTGAAGAATAAATTCTTAGGATTTCTTACTCCTGAGCATGCAACATACAACTGACAATGCATGCATATTTCTTTCTGGAGCCAAATTCCAACTTTTTGAAGTGTTTGGCCTTACGATTTGTTTATAATTCTCGCGAATGCAGGACGATATGAAAACTGGATTCTTTTATATAAAACTTAAAGAAATGATATGCCAAAAAACAAAATTTCATTTTTATTAAATAAGTATTTACTTTAATCGTTAATTTGTTAAAGCAGTGGGAGTATTTTGTATGCTAAATAATAAAATTTTTAATTTTTCCAATAAAAAATAAAAAAATAAAAAAACGTTTATTATTAAAACCAACTGTACTTTGTACCCCTTACCGGTTTTCATTTCTTCCCAAAATTTGGTTACAATCGGTCACAGTATGGTTATTTTAGAGGGTGTCATGGAGGGACGGACTAACGGCAGTCACAATTTTATATGTAGATATCTTCCTAATAATTAAAATGAGAAATCCTACACAAATGAAAGCAACGTGCATCAAATTCAATTGTACTCATTCCGCTTGGATGTATAACGACAGAAATTAACATCTTCCAAGAGTTGGGTTGAATTATACCTTAAAAGATTTGATCAAAAGGAAAATCGTTTTACCTGGTGTCGGGTTTCCACAGGTAATACGGCGTTGATCAGTTTCAGATAATCAACACACATTTCCAGGACGGAAGCCATGTCAGTTTTTCGACCTCGGATGTAGGGCAAAAGAACGCGTAATTGATCACAGCTTTCTTTGATGCGTTCTCTAAAATAATCAACATCATTTTTATCTTTATTTGGACTATTTAAAATGTAGATCAGTGCAGGGGATTATATATATCACATACATACACCGTGTGTAAAATCAAAATTAGCCAAGTCGTGTTTCTGTATAATTGTCCATCCCACAAAATGTTTAATATAATAAAAAAAAAAAAACACTAAACTAGTTGAGTTTCTATTTTCCAGATTTTCAGGTAAAAGGTTTCGCCATCTTGCTGTAAGAATCACTGAAAAAAAATATTTAAGTTATTCAGCTAGAAAAAGAACAAGAGTTTTGTGTCAGCTTCACGGTCTTCCAAAGTGAACAATGAGAGGAAAAAGATCATTCCGGCCTTCTCTAACTCTAACATCCATCTTCAAAATCCAGTCAAGAACCATCGCGAGAACGGTGAATAATTTAGAAAACAAAAAAGAGTGAACAGTAGAGAAGGAAACTGGATCAAGAGGTCACAACAAGAAGAGGGATCATCATTTCAAGTTAGAGCTAAAGAGATCAATTAGAAATGATTCACCTCAGTCCATAAGACGTTTGGTACGTGAGAGAGGTGTTTCAGTTATGAAAGCCCAAAAAGGAAAGAAAAAAAAAAATTGAAAATGAAATCGTACGTGAAATATGTGAGGCACCTTGTTACACCAGGACAGAAAGTTAGAAGTTTAGAGAGGGTGAAGATCATGTGGAAAGTTTTAAAATGATCCTGGAAATATATGTGAACTTCATGAGCTTCCAACACTTAGCTATGATGAACAGGTCTTCTGTTAAGCTTTGAGAGTAATTATACATTCTTATTGCTCAAAGTAGAGCCCAATAGTGTCATAAAAACCTCGGAGAATTCCAGTAAGGTATCTTTAATCATTTCTAGTACACAAAAGGTTCAAAGCTTAATCTAACAATTGGACAATTTT